CCAATACACTTAAATAATGCTTAAATAATTGCAAAACACTTAAACAATGCAGTTTTTTGTGTCCAATACACTTAAATAATGCTTAAATAATTGCAAAACACTGACATAATGCAGTTTTTTGTGTCCAAAAAAACTGCACTTTCCAGAAGTTAACTAAAACTGCAGTATTCCGTTAAAAAACTGCAGTAATTTCCTTTCTTTTAAAACTGCAGTAATTTATTGTAAGGGATCGGGTGTTGTATTGGATTTGGACATCCAAACGTAGCTTTTATTATAGAATGCTAAACATGCAAGATAAGACAACGGCAAACAAAACATCAGGTACCAGGCAGCAAACAGTCAATAATCCAAAGAGCAGTCCAATAACAGAACCAGGCAGACAGGAAAATAATGTTGCTATCATGTCAATATGCTCCAAAATCTCTAAGGAATGTTTCCAGCACATGCTTCAATCTGCCTGGAGGTAAAAGGAGCCAAAAATCAGTATAAATGTTTACATTGCATAGCAATGTGTAACTGTTACTTCTTTAGACTCATGCATATAATTCATCTTTATTTTATTTTTATATGATTCGGGGAGTGCAGTGATCTACAAACAGAGGATGGCAGTAAATTCCTGAATAAAGATAAGCAGCTGATAAGGCATGCAGACAATAACAGGTCAGGGTCTTTGTCCTGCGTGTGTGCGGGAAATGAGTGTGCTCTAAAAAAAACTGCAGGAAAGAATATTTACACAAAAGCAATTAAAAGAGGGGGCGGTGAACTATAATTTGCAGTAATGTGTTACTGTGAAAGTCTATATATCTGGGACAAGAACCTGTTGTGGGGTAAATGTGACAATGATATCAGTTTCTTATCAAAGGACTTCATAGTTCTATGTTGCAAAAGGCTGGGGATATAATTGCTAACAGCTTTCTTTACTTCATCTTCAACAGTTCTGTGTTTCTGTGGTTTTTGACATATGGCATCGAGTAAAAGATTTCAATATCAATATCACTGTAAGAGAAGGTTTTATTTATTTTTTTTTTTTTCCAAGGAATGTTTTTTTCTTGTTAAAATAAACATTACACACAGCACAAAAGGAAATCTGGCCATCCTCATCCAACATGACCTCAGGATTTTCCTGTCAGCAACACATAAGCTGCACTAGCTCACATCGTTTTCAGACGAGCGTACACTTCCTGTCTTTATAAGTGCTTCATCGATTCTTTTTTTTTATTTTGATTGGAAGTAGTTTTGTTTGCAGAGTAGAGTATATTAAATAAAATATTGAATACAAATTTCAAAAAGAGGAAAAATCAAGAGAAGCAAAAGAATTAAGACATTAAAATTATTAATTTTTGTTGAAATTATGTTAGTTGTTTTTTGTTTTTTTTTTGCAACGTTTTGCTTGAATTTAATTGTATTATCTTTTCATTTCTAAATATGTTTGGTGACTAAAATTTATTTTAATAAATATATCTGTTTAATAAATCTGTTTTGTTTAAAAGCACCAGTATACAATGCCTATACTCACTGAGAAACTATTAATTTTCAAAAAATAATAATAATAAATGCTGGCCTTGCTTTATTTAATTAATGATTAACCAATCAGATTGGTAGATTCCTAAGCCACTATAAATACCTAAGTTCCATATAACAGCCATCTTAATTTCAAAGAATCCCCCCTTCCACCCCAACTCCTCCTCCTTTTATAGATGAGTGGCACGGTGGCCCAGTGGTTAGCACTGTTGCCTTACAGCAAGAACGTCACTGGTTCTAGTCCTTACCAAGCCAGTCAACGATTCTGTGCGGAGTTTACACTTTCTCCCCATGTTCACGTGGGTTTCCCTTCGGTTCCCTGGTTTCCTCCCACTGTCTAAAAACATACTTAAGTTAATTGACTAATCCAAATCACCACCATAGACATGCTCCTAGTAAGTAGTTATCTCTTAAAAAGCAATCACTATCTGTTTATTAGCTACTACAGCAGGGGAGTTCTCGAGATCTACCTGAGCTCAAACTCCCCTCTCACCTTGCAAACTGGAGGGAGCCCCAGACTCGAGGATCTTATGAGCTCAAGGCTCTCTCCTGGGACAGCATACTAAAAAAGCTTTATAATCAATCATCAGATAAGTGTGAACTCTTAAAACATAAAATATATGTAATATAGTTAATGGGAAAGGATTTAAAGCCTGTAATTCTGGTTTTGTTGTAAGTTAATAGCATATGAAAATGTCTTGGCTGTCACATCTTAACATCTCTATGGCGTGGCTTCATATAAAGGAGTCTGAAAAGACCAAAAGACAGGTCAAACCTTTCTACTAAAGAAATTTTATGGTGGGTTATGAAGCTAAATATATGATAGAAACTCAGAACTGTTGAGTAGCAAGGTACCAGGTCACCTAAAAATTAAAATTTAATATCTCTCTCCCTCTCACTCTCAACCTAAGAGAAGACATTTTGAAGAAAGCTGGAAAACTGTAACCTCTGAATACCACTGTTGGGATAACGCATTACAAGTTACGCGAGTAACAAGTGAAGTAAGGCATTACTTTAAAACAATAAGTAATAATATCGGAGTTATTTTTTTATGTAATGTAAGTTACTTTTTAGTTTAATTAATTAGCTTTGAAGAAATAAATTGCTGAATTCAAATTATAGTTACAATAAATTCAATTCATGTTTATTTATATAAAGCTTTTACAATGTAGATTGTGTCAAAGCAGTTTAACATAGTTCTAATAAAGTCCAGATTTCAGAGTTAAGTTCAGTTCAGTGTGGTTTAAGTTTCACGAAGCGCAGCTCCACAAGTCTCGATCAAGTGTGCCGCAAGCCTACGTTTGAGTGAAGGTTTCGGCCGTTAGATCGCCCCCTGGGGGCTGGCTGCAGTACAAGTCATAAAGCCCGCCTCCTCCGTGTTAATGAAGGAGACTTGAGCCCAAATAAAAAAAAATATTACACTTGCAATAAAATGTCCCGAAAGATAGTTCTGGTCGATTAAGGCACTGGTTATTGTGCTGAAATAGGTGCAGATCTTCATTTTTGTAAACAGTTTGTTTTTAGCAGTAATTTAATGCTGGGCGTGTCATCGTGATTGAAAGCTGTGATTGACAGTTTCTCAAAGCGCGGCGTCTGAGCTTCGGCAGGAGACTGAAGTAGACTGAAATGTTATTATTCGATTTCTGTGTTATTTTACCATGACAAAATGAGTTCAGCAGTAAACTATAGTTTCTGACATACATGATCCTGGTGGAACACTGTTTATTCGCTAAGTTCAGGGCTTTTTTCGGGCTTTATTAGTTTGCTGATACACGCCTAACCACCCAGATAGCAAAACACAGTTCCGGCTAGATTCTCGCCTGCCGGAGACTTATCTCTTAGAGCTCAGACTGACTAATGTTACCTCTGCTGGACCTACTCCGGATGCCTGGACTCACTGCCCGATTCCAGTCCGAGTCAATCGAGCCAGATGCGGCGGCCGAGCGAGCAGGCGCTGCCGCATGCGAGCCGGAATCAGTCCGCGACGCCGCGAGTAAGTTGTGCGCTGCGGCCCGGAGCTGGCGCGATTGAATATATAAAACCCTCATATTTGTTAACGTTATTACATCCATTTGTGTTGATATGACAGCAAACGCATGCTGAGAAGTTCGGGGGGCGTAGTTGATTTTACATAAAGCGTTTGATTGGAAGCTCGACTCTGCTCATTTTCGCGGCTCCTCCTCTGGCTCCATCAGACAGTCCTTCTGCGCATGTCTGGCTCCAATTTCAGCAGTCTTTTGCGACAGTTTGTGCCCGTCAAGCAGGCGTTTTGCCCTCAAGGCGTTCAATGGGAAAAAGGGCTGTCGCGTCGTCCATATTTTTTACAGTCATTGGTCTCGATCCAAGCAAGGTGGTGACAGTTGCGAGGAACAAAAACATCACCAATTGATAACATGAAGGCAAAAAAAACCTTGAGAGAAAGCAGGCTCTGTTGGGCATGACCATTATTCTTCTGGTCAAACTTCGAAGTGAACAGGCCGGCCGACACAAGTGAGGAGGCTGGCTGTGAGCTAAGCGCTCCTCCAAAACAGCGCAAGCTCACGGCTTTTATACTTCGCGGACCCAATCCTTATTGGCGCGCCGATTAAGTGACGAAGGTGATTGACAGCTCACTCGACCAATGGTTGCACACCTGAAACGGGACAGGATCCACAACAAGAGAGAGATAAGAGAACGCAAAACAGAAAACAAACAACAAAATACCACAAAACATACGTGAAACGTAACAGGCCCACATGTATATTTTTACCATCTGGGCCAAATATTACATTTGGTCTGGCCCAAGTCTTATGTGCCGCCTTAAAGACGGTGCCACCTCTGCCAAACCCATGTTTGGCCTACATGCTGTATGCCAGTGCCGGACAAATGCCTGCTGTGCCAGCTTTATGACAAATCTGAGCCAATTCTGCTTTCTGAATTCTGCAAATCTGAATTCTTTGCTACCTGTTTAACTTTCCCCAACACTGACAACCATAGTAGGAAAAACAAACAAGTATTGGTTTTTATTTTTCTTATAAACATCTGCTTGTGTTCAACAGAAGAAAGGAAAAAACCTCAAACAGGCTTGTGACAAGTGAAGGGTGACTAATTGAAGACATAATTATCAGTTTGGGGTGCGCTATACCTTTAAGGCAATTGTGTTATGCGTATGAATCAGGTATGCGAGCACTTAGCCAGAAGCAGGATTTATCAGTAATGTTTTCACCACTGGCGCTGTCCCACCTATCAACGCCCATGGCATTTGCCCACCAGCACATTTGAAGATATGAATGTATTCAGAAAGAGAAGGTTTTGGCGTTAGAATACCACTAAAAAGAGAAAGAAGAGAAAGGAAAGAAGGAATCTCTGGAGTATAGGTGTATATTTCACCCAGAGACAGCATTTGTTTACTGCTGAGTGGATGATGGGAGTAGCCTTGGAGTACTTCAGTCAGTGTATTTACAGCCTTTGCCAGGTGAGAGCGCAAAGAGCGCAGTGGCCACTCGGTCTACGGTCGGCAAATCGCTTAGCCTAAAAGTAAACCGAGGATTTTGACGGAGGCACATCGGCTCGTTAAATGAACTGGGAGTGGAGTGACTTATATTCCCATCCGTTATGGATGGTTTCATCGGTGATATTGGCTCTAGTCGTGCGCGCGCAACGCAAGTCATTGTGGAACCCGCGCGCTTGTCTCGTGAGGTTAAAAGGGAAAACTGCGATTGTGACTGGAGCAAACACAGGTGAGAATAGCCTATCACTTTCACTATTTTAAGCATTAATTTGTGTTATTTGTACTATCGGATACACTTTAGAATATGGTTTAATTAGTTTATGAATGCTATGTAGTATTTACTAACATAACTAGCCTAATATAAACAATACTTGTACGGCGTTGGTTAAGCGCTATTGTATTATTTAAATCCAAATTCATGTCTGTTAACGTTTGTTAATGTGCTGCGAGTTAACATAAACAAGCAATTATCAACTTTATTTCCATTACTCAACATTTATAAAGGTGACATCTTGTCATTGCTTGTTTTTAGTAAATACAATAACATCTTGATGAGCGCACAATTACCTGGAAGATAAATGCCCGTTTTGTTAAAAGAAATGTGACGACAAACACGTGTTTTATAGTAATTTGTCATGTCTATTTTCAGTTAAAGCTGGAGCCAATATTTGCCCCACATGTTTCTCATTTTTAATGTGTGTCTGGAGTTATTTAGTGTGCTGGTGAAAAAAGGAAAAGGTTATTGCTCAGGTGCTGAATGTTAAATGTTATTTACTGAATGAATTAATGTTAATTACCCATTCTATTTCCTGTATTATCTATTAATATACTTATAATAGATAATTATAAACGTGTATATACACGTACCGGTCACTTTATTAGGTACAACTACAGTCATTCACATAACTCAATGCCTTTAGTCAAGTAGACATGGTCAAGAGGATCTGCTGTAGTTCAAACTGAGTATCAGAATGGGCAAAAATGTGATTTACAAAACACGGAAATAATCTATTTAAACATAGCCTATGTTTTAATATAGGTTTTGATAAAAGTTTTTTTTTAAATATGTGACATAAATAAAATTGACCGTTTTCCAATATGTACATATATCCATATATGTCTTAAAATATACACTATATGGACAAAATAAAAAAAACTACAAACTATTTTGTTATACATTTCCTTCTTTTCCACTATCTTTATACAACAAAGAATTGACCTTGTAACTTTCAGGAAAACATGAAGACATCATGGCTTTCCATCTCCTCTCACTTATTTGCCATAGTTAAATTCCATAACATGCCAATTACATGTGATACTAATTTCAAGTGTTCGCACATACATACGTTTTTTTTTTTTTTTTTAGTTCTTAGTTATTGCATTGATATTAGAAAATATGAGCTAGGCAGTTGCCAAAGTGAGATATGAGCTATAGGAGACAAGACATCTTGTACACATGTCCTATATGTGGATTTAAAGAAGCAATACAAAAGACCTAAATGGCCTGTATATGCACATATATGCACCTTAGTTTTGCCTATGTGTGTCATGTATATTCAACATTATCACATATGTGCATGTAGACTGCATATAGGTTTCATATATGCGCATATATTCTCATATAGGTTATTTCCATGTGGGAAGTGACTTTGAATGTGGCATGGTTGTTGGTGACAGAAATTGCTGATCTACTGGGATTTTCACGCACAACCATCTCAAAGGTTTACAGAGAATGGTCCGAAAAAGAGAAAATATCCAGTGAGCGGCAGTTCTGTGGGCGAAATTGTCTTGTTGATGCCGGTATTGGTAAGGTGTACTTAATAAAGAGGCCGGTGAGTCTATATAATATAGAAATATATTATTCGAGTCCAAATTAGTGGATTAGTATTGGATACAATGATAATGTGCAAAGAGTTCTTATTAAAATTTCTTGACTTGTTGGTCTGAAACTTGACAAAGGGTGTTTTGAAAACACACAATTTTCTTGTTGTGTTTGTAAATAAATCAAGATATTGAATTAGTCTCTTAAAAGAGATTCAAATATCCCATTGAGATTTAAAATGAAATGAAGCATGAAATATCATGAGCTAAACTGAAGTTTAATAGACTATTTTATAATGACCTTTACAAAAATAAAGCATGGTTTTACTACAAAAAGGAGACAAAACAACCACAAACGAATAGCAACGTGCATTCACAAATTAGCTGCGGTGTTTCTACACTAACTGCAATTTACCCAAGGTAGTAAATCAGTGATTATACAAATAAATGTCCCTAAAATATGTTTGCTACTTTAATAAAACAATGCTTTGTTTCCCTGGGGGGAAAAGAAAGTTGGCAGGTGCTGCTCTGTTGCACAAGTCAAAATCATTCTAGTCATACTCAAATTCTTCTTGTTCAACAGTTGTGTCAATGATCTCTTGTGTTTATCTCTAATGCAGGGATCGGCAAGTTCATCGCTCTTGACTTTGCCCGTCGCGGGGCTCGGGTGATTCTGGCCTGTCGCAGCGAGGCTCGTGGAACTGCAGCGCTGAAAGAAATCAGAGAAAGCACTGGAAACCATGATGTGCACCTGCGCCTGCTTGACACCTCCTCCATGGAGTCTGTGCGGAAGTTTGCAGCACAGATATTGAAGGAAGAGAAGGAATTGCACATCTTGGTCAATAACGCTGGGGCCTCAGGTGGAACTGCCTATTTTTTCAAAGGCTTTTCACACTGTGCTTAAAGGAATAGTTCAGCAAAAAAAAAAAAAAAGTTATTTACCACATTATTTACTCACACTCAAGCCATCCTTGGAGTAAATGACTTTCTTCTTTCCAACAAAAACAGTAAATCATTTTTAGTTTGATCCTAGCTCTTCCATGCTGAGCTGTGGCCCTTAATTTGAAGTTTCTCAAAGCACATAAACCCATCGTAAAACGAACACGTCTATTGAAGGAGATCTTTAAAAATATTGAAATTGTTTTAATTATTCACTCAAATCAAGCTGTCAAATGCACATTTTTGACAATGTCTTGCCTGACTTAGTTCTTACTCTATGCTCGATGTATAACAAGACCCATTATTGTTTCAGGATTTAAAGTGAAAAAGTTCCTGTTGAATTTTGATGTGTAAATCCTGAAATTGAAGCGAATAATTCTTTTGTAAATAAATTTTTTCATACAATTATTGTAGTGTATTTAGGAAAACCCGACAGAAAGGATGTAAACATTAGGTAAACAGGTTGTTATGTTGGTCCAAATATGCCACTACACTGTAAACCATAAGTCGAGACTACTCCAATGATTTGAGCAAAGTGATTCCCTCAGTTCGCTTGGAGTGATGGGAAACTGACAACTCAATTAATTGAGTTGACCAAATGTCTCTTCATTGAATTAAATTAAATGTTTAAGTACAGATGACATAAAAAGGCTAATAGACTAAAACTTCAAATTTTTCAGCTTTTATATTCTTTATTCACTCACAAGGCTGTTTATTTCAAAGTTGATATTTAGCCGCATCATGTTGGCGTTTCGTAACATCTAATTTTTACGAGGTGGTTTATTAGCCGAACGCTCAACTCCCAACCTGGAGGACCAGGACATACACACATACATACAGACAATTTAACATACCCAGTTCACCTATAGTGCATGTCTTTAGACTTGTGGGGAAAATCACCTGGAGGAAACCAATGCGAACAAGGGGAGAACATGCAAACTTTACACAGAAACGTCAACTGATCCAGCCGGGACTCAAACCAGTGACCTTCTTGCTGTAAGGCAACAGTGCTACCCAGAGTATATAAGCTTTAAGGGGTGCAGCAACTGGGGGGACGGAGCTACGTCACCCTCACTTTTAGAGACTTACCATTTAAAACAGGTGATTAATAATCTGAAGAACGTAAACTTTTAGATCTCATTAAGCAAAATGACCACCTTGTGTCATATAAAATGTATCAACCAATCAGAGTGGTTGTCAAGGCAAAATTTCAAGAGCAACCAATCATTTTAAACAGAGACATGGTGAATTGTTTAAGGACATTAAAATCTTAAGTTCAGAGAACTTAAAATATTAATTAAACGTTTTTTACTGCCTAATGAGTAAGTTAAACACACCTGTTTAATCTCTGATGCCAACTTGGTACTTAGAACTTAGTATTTTAAGTAATGTCAAGTTATATTAACATTATATTATTAATGACAACAGCAGGGTTTACAGTGTAAGAGCATTGACCAGGCACTCAAAAAACGACATTTGTTCTTTGGTCATACTTATTTAAAATGAGCTGAAACAACACAATTCTTAAGGTTTTAGGGGGAAACTTAATTTATTTATGTTCGATCCACTTGTAAAAACAATAAGTTAACTTAATTCTTTCAAGTTGTCCCAGCACAAATCAACTGGTGGAACCCAGCATTGTTTACAGTGGGGGACCATTTATTTTTAGCATGTGAATGTTCAGAATTATTTAATAACCCATTAAATTATAAGCCATTATGTGAAATCTGATGATTAATTCTCTGTACCTAGAGTTAAAATGACTCAGTGTTATTTATTTCAAGTGTGAAAAGTCCTTCCTTCTCCCATAAATTCATGATATGTTCTTACCTACAGGCTTACCCATACAGATCACAGCAGATGGGTTGGAAATCACATTTGCAACCAACCATGTTGGACCATTCCTGCTCACCAGTTTGCTTTTAGGTCAACATCCCTAATGTTTATCCTTTCGTTCCAAACTCATCTGGAGGTAACTCACATACAGTAAATGACACCTTTTCTTTTCTTTGTTGCACAGACCTTTTAAAGAAATCCGCCCCGGCTCGCATTGTAAATGTTGCATCCGCAATGCACTGGAAAGGTGACGTGGACTTCGCCCATTTCCATGGGGAGAAACTAAACCATGGGGTGAATCGTGTGTACAACCACACCAAGCTGCACAATGTCATCTGGACCAACGAGTTGGCACGCAGGCTTCAGGGCACAGGTTCGCAAACTAAAACTGCATTTGGTCATTGCCAATAGCCTAATGGTTCAGTGCGCTGACATTTAAAACTGAGATGCTCACATAAACCCGAGTCCTGTTCCGCTCTCAATGCTCCCTACACTTTTCTGTCTCTAATCTATTGTCCTATTCAATAAAGCTAAAAAAGAGATATAAAAAAATCCCTTCAAAGCAGCGGTGTCCAAACTGGGTCCTGGAGGGCTGGTGTCCATGAGAGTTTAGCTCCAACCCTTATCAAACACACCTCAAGCAGCTAATCAAGCTCTTACTAAATATACTAGAAAACAAGTTGGAGCTAAACTCCGAAGGACACCGGCCCTCCAGGATCGAGTTTGGAAACCCCTGCTTTAAGGCAAGTCATTTCACTTGGTTGCCATCTTTGACATGCCACTGTGCTCGGGCATTCAATTTCAATGGGGAAACATCAAACTCCCCAAGATTGCTTTCTAAGCTCATGATTACGGTTCATATTTTGAACCACCAATATAATTAACCAACAACTGTCTCTTTAGTTTCATTTCTAAATGTTCGAATTACACAAAATCTGCAGAAAGCCTTGTCTTGTCAAAGCTCCTCCCCCGAGTTCTGAATCATCAGTCTATCGCTTATTGGCTCCTGTACTAGTAGGCGGGGCTTTATTCGCCAGATTGACCATACACTTTTCCCCATTCAAAACTATACGAATGGCATGTCTTGTGTATCCTTTTGTCTTGGGCCACTTTATTGGGTACAACCTTGTTTCAGGTTGAACCAACTTTTGCCTTCATAAATCTCTTAATTTCACAAAGTCAGCTTTTTTTCACTTCCTATTTTAAAATGATAAATTCTTTTAAATTATCACTAACTACCTATTATAATGCATGTTTCTTTATTGTGTGAATCATTATTAAAGAGCAATTGCTGAAACTGAAACTGCAGATTCAGCCTATGACAAAGCAAATACACATTTTATTCACATAAACCATTTTATGGTTTCTAGAAAAAAAAATCATAAATTAGAATTAGAATTGGTCTTGGAAAAACCTGATTGCTAGTTTTGAGGTCAATGTTAAGGATTGGGTTGGACTGAGGTGATACTACAGCTCCACTCTACATCCAAATGTATACTGGTAGCACACTCTGATAGGTATTCCATCACATAAACAAGCTACTTTAGGAAGGGGCGGTAGGAAAATATGATCAGGTAGGAAAAATCGACAGAACACCCCAGCATGAACCATTAGAGCTGGTTGGATCCATTCTATCATGCTGTTTACACTCAATTCTGAGAGTCGTCATTCTAAGTCAGGGGTGTCCAAACTCGGTCCTGGAGGGCTGGTGTCCTGGAGAGTTTATCTCCAACTTGCTTCTAACACACCTGCCAGGAAGTTTCCATATATATATATACACTAGATATTGCATAGGGACCCTGAGCATGCGTCAATAGCGCCGCCACATTGGTACAGCGCTCCCAGGACAAATGTCATTCAACCACACTAGTCAACACAGTGTTATTACGTGAAGATGCGGGACTTTAGCGCTGTCTACGGGTGTAGTAACAAGCAAACAAAGAAAACAAAGCACAAAGGCAGAACGTTTCATAGGTGAGATTAAGTTTTTTTACGTTTTTGTATGTTCTGAACTTTTGTGCTAAACAGGTAACGTTATTGATGATAATACAGTCACTTACTACATTCACCATAAGGCAAATTAGCTCCAACTCGCACTAAACACTCGGCTTATGCTCGTTTTGTTGAATAAAATCTGCAAACACTGCAAAAGAAATATGACAACGAGATGCCTGAAACTTGTATTATTGTCTGCTAGTGAAGGAGTCTTTCATAACGGGGATTCATTCACAAACGAATTGCTCTCTCCGTCAGTATGAGAAGTGAAAGCAAGAGAGGGGGTGTGTTTCAGGACACGGATTAGATCAAATTTAACAGGGAGGGTGGATAGTACATTTTCCAACAAACAAACACAAGCCTTTTGTCAGGAATGCCAGTCCGATCACTGATCCATCAATGTAAAAAAGTGATGCAAAATTATAATTTTCGTAATTAAAAAAAAAAAAAAATAGCATATTAACATCCAGGAAAACTCAGGATCATAGACATATGTGTATATCTCTGGCTTTGGATGGCCACAGTCCGCCACTGTACCTTGGTCCCGCATTCATTTCAAAGGAGCGCTTCCCTGTTCCAAAATGGTGGCTCTATTGACGCATTCCTTCCAATAGACAACAACAGGGTAGGCGACATCTAATGTATATATCTATGGGAAGTTTCTAGTATATCTAGTAGGAGCTTGATTGCCTGGTTCAGGTTTTAATTAGGGTTGGAGCTAAACTCTTCAGGACACCGGCTCTCCAGGAGTTTGGACACCCCTGGTCTTAGTAATGTTTTTGCAGTGTTCTGCTCTCAAGAAGGCATTTTCACACACACAACTGCCATCCCTCAGATTTTCTTCTTTTTTTTTAAACCATTCTGTGTAAACAGTAGAGATGGTTGTGTGATGAAAACCCATTGTATCAGCAGTTTCTAAAATGCGCCAACTCATCTGGCATCAACAACACACTCCAAGTCTTAAATCTATTTAACTATTCTGATGCTCATTTTGGACTTCAGCAGATCTTCATGTCTACATGCCTAAAAGCATTGAGTTGCTACCACGTGAATGTCTGGTTAGAAGTATACATTAGCATTTGAACGTGGTGTAGTTTGTAAAAATAGCTAACCAGCAAGCATTTTTCGTTTTTAAAAGATGTCTAACGGACATCTAAACATAGTCGTCTTGTCTAAAACAAGGCTAAAGTTGGGCTGTCAGTAAAAATCTAATAGACATCTAAGAATAGGCCAAAACTATAGTTATTTTGATAATGCTGTAGTCATGTTAGCTGAGTAGCAGTATATAATTAAAATAAGATATAAAATATATATAAAATATATAATATATATAAATATGACGTGATTTTCTACAAATGAAGCATGAGCACACATTGCTTTGCATCTTATTCACCTTATTCTTCGCTGACGAGTGGGCGCAGCCATTTGAATCTTTTTGGCTCGAGGGTTCTGGTCACATTCTCTTCCATTCATTTTTAGACATTAAAACTGCTCGTTTTGCTGTTTGATGTTGCAAACTGATATATTCTTATTATATTATTCTACTTGTTCTGTATAGTCATGCAAACATTTGTTTGTAGAGCAAGTATTTTGACTGTTTGCTTCCGTTTATTATTCCTAGTCATTTCTCCCATAGGAAACTGAATCTGAAGTTCTAAAACAATCCCGAAAACAGGCGCACTTCCGCATTTTAGAATAAGGTCAATAAACTCAACCAAGCCTTAAAAATACACTCTGCACAACCCCTTTAAACTCAAAACAGCAAGTTTTTTAATGACTGTTATGATATTCATGAAAAGAAAGCATTAAATGTTGTTGAGATGAGCAATGTTTTTAATTAAAGCATGGTTTTTGTGTGTTTCAGGAGTGACAGCAAACTCTCTGCATCCGGGTGTAGTTATGACGGAAGTGATGAGGAACTATAACTTCATTTTACGATTGCTCTTCAACTTGATCGGCTTTTTCTTCTTCAAAGTGAGTCAGAGTTTAATCTGATAACACTAAACAACATGCAGCATCTGATTGCTTCCTGCCTAGTTATCTGGAACTGTTAGTGCACTGGAACTGTAGAGTCTGGTAATAGTTAATGGATGACATGCTTTAGTGTTAGTTTATTGGAACAGGATCACACACATTCCATTTGTTCATTTTCCAAGTATAGATCTACAAGGTTAGTTTAACAATAAGTGCTTATAAAGACTGGGAAAGGGAGACACGGTGACTGAGAAGCAGAAATGGCACAGATACTTGCACGGAAAACAAACGTGAAGGTAGTATTGGGTAAACTCTCAACGTTTGTTACTTGATTATTGACCCTTTTCACATTTCTGGGTGAAAAAGGATGGATACACCTATAGATACACGTCAATATAGCCTAATCCTTTGTGATACATTACAACAATAACTCCTATTTTTATGTTACTATGAGAGTTACTATTGCGTAATTTAATTAATAATGTAAATAATACTGGGGCGACATGAGGCCCAGTGGTTAGCACTGTTGCCTCACAGCAAAAAAGGTCGCTAGTTTGAGTCCTGGCTAGGTCAGTTGGCATGTCTGTGTGGAGTTTACATGTTGTCCCAGTGTTCTTGTGGGTTACCCCCAGGTGCTCCGGTTTCCCCCACAGTCCAAAGACATGCGCTATAGGTGAATTGGATTAAATTGGCTATAGTATATGAGTGTGTGTGTGAATGTGAGAGTGTATGGGTGTTTCCCAGTACTGGGTTGTGGCTGGAAGGGCATCCACTGCATAAAACGGCTGGAATAGTTGGTGGTTCGTTGCACGGTGGCAATCCCTGATAATCAGGGACTGAGCCAAAGGAAAATGAATGAATGAATATTTGTCAAGTTGCTTTATACTAATTATGTGACAATGAATGTATCGCTCCGAGGAAACTTTTATTCATTAAGAAGACGCTATTGTCCAAAGTGGAATTCAGCGATTCACCAAGAACAGGCAATACACATAAAAAGTGCTAATTATACAAAGGAACTGATAGTGCTCTGAGAATTAAGTGCTAGAGAAAGTAAGGGGCAGTGAGGTATTTATAGAGAGAGAAGAGTGTTACTACGGGTGGTTTGTCAAGCCCACTCACCTGTGTGAAGCACCCTTCATAAATGCACTTCATAAACAGTTTTTTAGAGATACAGAGTGGTCTTTTGCAAAGGTGTAAAAACCAATGCAAATATCAGTTAAGCATCAGAGAGATGAAAGAGTGTTTTTTACAGGTGGTTTGTCAAGTCCACTCACCTGTGTAAAGCACCCTTCATGATGCATTTTATAAATGTTATTTTTTTAAAGATATGCGGTCCTATCATACACCCGCCGCAATAAAGCGCAAGACATGTTTGGCTTGATTATTTGCTACTTTCAGACCAACAAGACCCTAAGTTTTTAGCCACGTTGTTTAAATAGCAAATCCATTTGCGCCACTTCGTGGAGTCATGAATGTGCTGGTACAGAATGGAGGTGTATAAAGGCGCATTGTTGGCATATTGCTATTTTGAGGAACTGAAATAGACCGCACCATTGACCAGCTAAAAAGCAGGTCTAAAGTCATATATTCATACAGGATGTACAACCATACACAAATATCTTTACATTCATAAAAAATAAAGGAATAAAATATTACAAAAAATAATATATATTTTTTTTTTACATAATTATAAAACCACTGCCTTCATGCCTTCTTCACCTCAGGGGACTTTTTTGTTTACTCATAAAAAAAATTTGCAATTATATAATGTTATTATTATTATTACTTATTATATGCATATTTATATTTGTTTTAATAAATACACGTTTACATTTGTCTGCATGTTATGCTCAAAACACACCCATAACTCCTTAAGAGAATAAGCACAGCCTTGTTAAACCATGCACCAGGGCGCAAAACGTATTTTTCCATCCTTAAAATAGCAAAAGTGGATTCGAACATGCTCTTAATGATTAAGTGCGATGCCTTTAGACTCTGCGCCTAGATTGTTAAAATAGAGCCCAAGGAGTGATAGTAAAAAACTGACTGGTGCAAATGTGCAAAAACTGGTGTCACTTAGTGTCAGAGATGAACGTCTGCTTTCTACAGGTGGTTTTTCAAACCCACTAATCTGTGTGAGGCACACTCAGAATGTCTTAATGTTTGAGGATTGTTGTGTGGTGTGATGAGGGGAAAGAAGGTTTTGGTTTTGGTTGGGTCCTGGTTTTTTCCACAGGGGTTCAGGTGATTGTGGAAGAGATGAGTTTTTGATTGTAATTGGAATGAAACACACCTTCTAACAAACACATTCATTTAGAAACAGAACTTGTTTCTCATGCACTGACTTTATGTTAATTTTTTTCCACCTCAGACCGCAGAGGAGGGAGCGTTCAGTCCGATATACTGTGCAGTGGCAGAGGAAAATGAAGGAATAACAGGAAAATACTTTGACAGTGATTGTTCCCTGGTTCTGCCAGCACCTCCCGCCAGAGATCCTGCTCTTGGAGTGAAGGAATATGAGTTCTGTGAGAGACTGATTGCTAAACTGTAAACACCTAGTTCACAGAATGATCTTTTCCATAACGAACAGCTCAAATTTGGTAATTTAATAGCGTTGTAAAGAACACACTGAAATATCAGGTCGCCGCAGCTGTTACTGATTGTTGTAGCTCTGGCCTTTATACAGAGCAGAGCCACCCAGTAAAGTGGTTGTATTTGATGTTACCTTAGCAATGTGATTAGTCTTTTTCAAACTTATTATGAACAGAATGAAGGAGCGCTGTATGAATGTAATGTGAAAAGAGCACAGTCCGGTTCCAGAAGTAAAAAAATAGATTTTTACATTTACTGTTAAAATGTTGAAGGAATATCTGAAGTTGTCAATTGTTTGTATAAGCTTTAGTTGACTCATCTGCTCGCACTGATTTCACTTTTTTTAAACAAAGTTTAATAGAAGAATTTGTGCAAAGAACTACATTGTCCACCTCCCATGAATCGCTGCTAATGAAATGATGTATTCGCTCTGTAACATGTTAAAAGAATATATAGCAGAATACATGTGTGTGTGCATATTTTGTGGTCATTTCCTATAGACACATCCAACAATTTCAATAGTTTTATATTTCTAAGTCAGTTTTTTATACTGCTGTATTATTTCAATTATTCATAAGACTTTTTTATCTTTTGTTTTGTAATTAATGAGTTACAAAGTAATTAGTTACATTAATAAATTACTTTTCTACAGAAAAAAATAATATTAGGGATTACTTTTCATTTGTAGGTAATTTAGGTTCAGTTACTTGCTTAATTGCCTTAAATATTGTACATAAATTCAACAGTTCTGTATAAATCAATTCACATAAGCAGAGTAATTTAACAAATATATTTTCAGAATAGCTAAAGGTAATTCGTTCATTCATTTATTTTCCTTCAACTTTCTATTTTAGAGGTCACCACAGTGGAATGAGCCGCCAACTATTCCAGCATATGTTTTTGCAGCTGATGCTCTTCTAGCCAAAACCAGGGCTTAATTTGTGCCGTTTTTTGCTTTCTTCCACAAAACTCCAACCCCCTCTACTGTCCTCCGTGACACCACCCCATTGCCCCTGCCCTTCACTTCCATCCATGACAACAGCCCACCCAGTCTTCACTTTCATCCTCGACACCACCCTACAGTCCCCTCCTCTCGCCCTTCACTTTCGTTCACGACACCAGCCCCCCCGTCTTCACTTTCGTCCGGGACACCTCTTCCTCCTTTGGTAACATGCCGTATCTGTTACCCTAATCTGTTCTGGGACCTCGCAATTTACAAATTAAGCACTGGCCGCAACCCAGTACTGTTTAACACCCATGCACACATTCACACACGCACACTACAGCCAATTTCATTCATTCATTAATTAATTTTCATTCGGTTTACTCCCTTTTTTAATCAGGGGTCGCCACAGCGGAATGAACCGCCAACTTATCTAGCATATGTGTTACGCAGCGTATTCCCTTCCATTCGCAACCCAACACTGGGAAACACCCATACACTCTTACATTCACACTTTTTAGTTTATTCAGTTCACTTATAGCGCATGTCTTTGGACTGTGGGGGAAACCGGAGCACCTGGAAGAAACCCACACGAACACAGAGAAAACATGCAAACTCCACACAGAAATGCCAACTGGCCTAGCTAGGACACAAACCAGCGACCTTTTTACTGCCAGGAGGCAGTGCTAACCACTGAGCCACCGTGCTGCCCCCTAAAGGTAATTGTATTTGGTAATTGTGTCCTTCGTTCATTTAAAATGTTGGATATATATAATGATTAACATCAACAAGTGTTAATTAAAAAAACAACAACAAAAAAATGTGATTAAAATTTAAAGAATTGAAAGTTTTTTCAGTCTTAGGGGTTTTAAGCAGTTTTAATCAAGTAGTTAAATTAATAATTGAGTAATTCAGTTACTTTTCAGACAAAGTAATTATAAATGTAATTTAAACACAATTTTTATGATGTCATAACTGGGCGGCACGGTGGCTCAGTGGTTAACACTGTCGCCTTACAGCAAGAAGGTCGCTGGTTTGAGTCCCGGCTGGGTCAGTTGGCATTTCTGTGTGGAGTTTGCACATTCTCCTCATGTTTGTGTGGGTTTCCCCCACAGTCCAGAGACATGCAGTAAATGTGAATTATGGGTATTTCCCAGTACTGGGTTGCGGCTGGAAGGCCATCGCTGTGCAAAACATATTCTGGATATGTTGGCAGTTCATTCCGCTGTAGTGACCCCTGATAAATAAAAAAGTCCAACTAAGCCCAAAAGAAAATGAATGAATGAATGAATGAATGAAGCAAGCAAGGAAAGAGTATCTAAAATCATCCTACATACATTTTAAACATTTGGGATTTGAGAATGTTTTTGATCGATTTGAGTATTTTTCAAGAGTTCACACTTAGCTGATAATCAATAAAGCTTGTTTGGCATGCTGTCCCGGGAGAGAGCCCTGAGCTCATAATATCCTTGAGCCTGGGGCTCCCTCCCGTTAGAAGGGCGAGAGGGGAGTTCGAGCTCAGGTAGGTTTGAGAACTCCCCTGCTTGTCGCCGTGCAAAAAGTGTAAACTAAGGTTGTCTTGAGTGATAATTTGGTTTAGTCGATTGGCTATGGTTTATTATTTTGGACGGTGAGAAGAAAACGGGGAACTCGGGGGAAACCCACGCGAACACGGGGAGAACGTGTAAACTCCGCACAGAAACACCGACCGGCCTGACAGGAGGTTGGACCCGCGGTGTTCCTGCTGTGGGGCAACAGTGACTGGGCCACCGTGTCACCCTATCGGTAAAAAAGGGAGTAAGTAGGGGTGGGGGGGGGAAGCTTTGAGACCAAGATAATTGTACTGAAAAACTCTGGTTATTTGTAATGCTTCCATAATCATCTAATAGGGCAGATTACAGACCTAATGAGGAGCCAGCTGTGTTGATCATAAGCACGTGATCCTCTCGAAATTAGTTTATAAATAAACCACACTTATTGATTTATTTTCGTCAAGCAAGAAAGTCTAAATCACATATTTAGTTTGAAAATATTATATCTTTCAAATAAATCCTCTTCTGTGGCGACGCAGTGGCGCAGTGGGTAGCATGTTCGCCTCACAGCAAAAAGGTCGCTGGTTCGATCCTCAGCTCAGTTGCCGTTTCTGCCTGCGTTCACGTGGGTTTCCTCCGGGTACTCCGGTTTCCCCCACAGTCCAAAGACATGCGGTACAGGTGAATTGGGTAAGCTAAATTGTCTGTAGAGTGTGTGTGTGTGTGTGTGTGTGTGTGTGTGTGTGTGGATGTTTCCCAGAGAAAGGTTGCGGATAGAAGGGCATCTGCTGCGTAAAAAAACTTGCTGAATAAGTTGGCGGTTCATTCCGCTGTGGCGACCCCGGATTAATAAAGGGACTAAGCCGACAAGAAAATGAATGAATGAATGAATGAATGAATAAATCCTCTTCTATGTCACCTTAAATCCATTGAAGAGTCTTGAAAATGTTTCAGAAAATACAAAGAAAAGTTTCTTGAGCACTGAATCAGCATGGAGGAATGTTTTTTAAAGGATCGTGTGACACTCAAGACTGGAATACTCATGCTGAAAATTATCACACATTTGGTGTATTTTTGATCAAATAAAGGCAGCCTTACTGAATTTTAGAGACTCGCTTTAATAATTTACCCTATAGCATTGGTATATTAAATGACAATTTTTATTAATATAGCTAAAACTGTAAAAGAAGGACGGATATATAGAAGGTATTTAAATTATAACAATACAAACTCACATCCCCCTACATGTATAAATGACAAGAAACTGAATTTACATGCAAATTCATTTTATTGTGATTCTTTTTACATGTTTACATTCTCAGACAAAGGCTTTGTGCTTGCAGTTGAGGTGAATCATCAGACTGCAATTGTCATGGAATGCAGATATAAATGCCACCTTTAATTCGCTGTCAAAAAAGAGCACAAACATTAGAGCGGTCAGTTTGTGTTTTTTTATATAATAGAAGATAAATAAAAAGAGAGTTGATAAAGTGGATTTTACTTCTCCTTACCGTTGTCTGGCTCTTCTACGATGTTTTGCAGCATCTTACCGAAAGCAGACCCAATATGGCTCTTTTTAGCAGTGAGCTTCAGCCCTATTTCTACAGGCTGGCCCTTTAGGGGGAAAAACTATGGATTATTATATAAATTATATGATGCATTCTAGATTATCTAACAGCGTTGGGCATGTGTATGAGATGACAGTCATAAAAGGCCATTTTAGCAGATGAAAATCACACACTTTATTCAGAGATTTACCACCTGCCATCAGGCAGAAGGTACTTATTTAAAGAAGCTAGATTCAATAGAATATTTGCATTAATTTGTTCCAATTGCAGTTTGGTTTTTTAACAAGCTTTACGTTGTATTTTGCTCATGTACATTGGACACTCATGCTGTTTGAACATGTTTTGATTGGTAACTGCTCTGTTTATAATTAACATTTTACTTGATCATGATTCATTTTATTTATTTTTACTTGCTGTTAATTATGTTTTGATCCTTGTCGACTATTGCTGTGACTTAAAGTGCCCCTCTACAATTAAGAAATCCCAATCCAATAATGCAATCTAAACTGTCTAAGTTAACTGAGTGTATTAAAGATGTTAAAGACTGGATGACCAACATAGCATTAGCTCTACTATAAATATCATATATCCCATGTCACAAAAACTGCCTTCTTTCATCAGAGAAATATTGCTGTTACGAAGTATGCTATCCATCTCAGATGCAGAAAAGCTAGTCCATGCTTTTATGACTTATAGGCTGGATTACTGTAATGCTCTGTTTGCTGGCTGCCCAGCATCCTCTATTAACAAACTTAAGCTAGTATGCAGCTGCCAGAGTTCCTACCAGGTCTAGAAAATATAATTATCTCACCCCAATTTTTTCCTGCTTACACTGGCTGCCTGTTGAGTTTTGTATTGATTTTAACATATTGCTTTTTACCTATAAAGCTTTAAATAATCTAGCTCCTGTTTATCTAACCAACCTTCTGTCTCGCTACAGTCCAACTCACTCTTTAAGATCTTAAAACTCAGGGCTAATTATTCTCTTTATTCTCTTTTTCCACCTGGGGATACTCATCCTGAGGCCCCTCAGAGATTATGCAGTGCCACTCATGGTCATGCTAACTGAGCCTATAGTTTCTCCCTAGGTTTTTTTCCCTTCACTTTCGCCCATTGGTGAAGTTTTTTTTTATTGCCACTGTTACCACTGGCTTGCATAGTTCAGGACTTGTAGAACTGCGCATCGATGGATTACTCTTCAGTGTTTGGACTCCCAGCAGTGAAGCATATCGGACTGAACTGAGCTAATCTAAACTGAACTGAACTTAAACACTGAAAACTGAACTACACTTTTTCAATTCACTATAATCTTTTAAAGCTGCTTTGACACAATCTACATTGTAAAAGCACTACAGAAATAAAGATGAATTGAATTTAATTGAACATTTCTAAAAATGCGTATAGATTTTATTTAGACAAGACTATACAGATGAGTTTAAACACACAAATTTGCATCAATTATTATTTTCAGATTTTTAAAAAGAATGTTTAAAAGTCAAAATTCCTTGCTCTGTTAAACACAACTTGGGAAATATAAATGTTAGAAGATTACTAACAATTTTATGTTTTGTATATCATTTTTTAAATAGGAATATGAATATGGTTGGGTCATTTTGAACACATTTGTGTGGAGCCCTGTTAGGTGTCATAAAAAACTTCCTATAGCTATTTATTATATTTATTAATATATTCCATAATTTAATATATCATCTAAAAATAAGTAAAATCATCTTTTTGCTGTTTTATAACCCTAAAATAACATTTTTCTTCAAAAGGAAATTTTTGATTTATGTAAAATTTAAGATTTCAAACTATTCAATTAAACAAATAGGGGTAAACTCAGTATGATGCTAACATTTAAAGCTATAACATTCAAAAACATATTTTCTCACTGAAATATTAATGAGATTTTGTTGAAAACAGGGTATTAGTTCCACAAAATAATGATACTTTGCAATCAAACAAACCACAAATGTAAATACAGGGTATTAAAGGGTTTGTTCACCCACAACTAAATATACTGTCAATAATTAATAATCTCATGTCATTCCAAACTCACAAGATCTTTGTGAGCTTCCAAAATACAGCAGGGTTTATGAACTCGGCTTCTAGAAAACAGTATTTTGCCACTGACATCCCACAAGAGTGGATTTTGCATCCATGAATTCACACCAAACTGATCTATATCTAATAATATACAGATTAAGTGTTGATCATGTCACCATTTTTCTCAGAAAACATATTTGTAAAAGTGCTTGGTAGCAACCAAAGGATTTAACAATCGATGAAATCCATATACACAAAGAAAACAAATCTAATTAGTTTACAAATTAAGTTATGTGTAAATGAAATGACATAGAGAAAAAGTATTGAACTCATGAAAAAAGGGAGGTTTAGAAAAGCAGTGAAAGCCCAGACAGCAACTGAAATCTCTCAGTAGAAATTCAGCAAACCTCTGACCTTCGTCATTATAAATGAATATTAGCTGCTTCAGTCCAACATCTACATAATTAGGATGATGAAGATGAAACCAGAGTGGACATTTCAGCTGGACAATGATTCAAAATGCAGAGAAGGAAACTCTCAAATGCTTTCAGGGAATGAAAATCAAGCAGTAGAATAGGCAGCCTGATCTCACAAGGAAATGCAAATATTTTATGTTTTGTCAGTTTAGTGGCTAATTTGTACGATTTATACGAATTTGTACGAATTCAGTCATACAAAAATGTACGCTAAAAAAAAAAAGGTGTGGCACCTAACCCCACCCCTAACCCCAACCGTCATTGGGTGATGAGCAAATCGTACTAAATTGTACGAATTAGATTGTACGAATTCATACGAATTAGCCATCAAAATTTACGAATTGCCGTGAGATTGAGTTGGAATAGCCCAGCCAATCGCCTGAATTCAATCCAATATAAAAAACAAACACATTTTTCAGATTTTTTTGGTTTTGTTTTACTTCTATGTTTGTATTGTTTAAAAATCTTTAGAAAAAAGGTAAAAAAAAATTACTGTTTAATACTTACTTTTCCTATTGTATATTATGGTTTAATTCTCTCTAGATAATAAATTCTGCAATGTTTCTCACTGACACGAGTCCAACTCTGAAACTCTGGTGTTAAAGAATTTCTCTAGTTTTCCACTTGCGATAAAGTCTTTGTTTATATCCAATTCAGTTCAATTCATCTTTATTTCTATAGCGCTTTTACAATGCAGATTGTCAAAGCAGCTTAACAGATGAAGTTCTAGTAAATTGCTCCAGTTCAGTTTTGACAGTTGATGTTCAGTTTAGTTCAGTGTAATGTAAACATCACTGCTGAAAGCCATAAGACTGAGGAGCAAATCCAACAATGTGCAAAAAACATCCTAGACACATTCATCTCGTAAATATGATTGACTTCAAGCGCCATTTGTTTTCATTTGTGTTCTGAAGACGAACAAAGCTCTTAAGGGTTTGAAAGGACACGAGGGTGAGTAAGTAATTACAGAATTTTCATCTTTATGTGAACAAAGAAAGAACCGGGATTTCTTTTTCTCACCGCTGACTCTCCTCCATCCTCTTCTGGAGACGTTTCATCCACTAAAAGCCCTTCTGCTCGTGAATCAGCGTCCTTCCTCCCCTCCTTTTCCTGAAGATAAACACAGAAACAACATCAACAGTGAACCCTGGTGAACTTTTGAGGTCCTGCGCTGCAAAAAAAAACTATTAAATTAAATTATTTAGTTGGACTAAATGAACTTTTCTAGTCATTTCAACTTACATCAGTCATACTGACCAAAAATATGAAGTTAAATTGCAGTGCTCAACATAAATGAGTGCAAATTTATATTTTATGCATTTCTCAAAAACATATGCTGGAATAGTTAGCGGTTCCTTCTGCTGTGGAGTTCCCGGAAAAATAAGGGATTAAGCTTAAGGAAAATGAATGATGTATGTTGAGCACTGTGTGTACAACTAAAAATAAATAGTTGAAACCTGCTTTATTATTAGGTTAAGGTTACAGAAAAACATTTGTTGTAGTGACTTTTTTTTAATCATATCCTTTTTTTTATTTTACAGTGAATTCAATTCTCACCCTGAGCTCTCTCATCTCCTTGGGGCTGAAAAATGCGATGTGTCCTTCAGCCTGTTCGGCCAGAAGAGCAACAACGCATATCAGCAGCACACATCCTGTCACTGAGCCACGCATCTTTGGGTGACAGAAAAGCCCACATTAGCAATTATTAAACACAACATGCAGGATAACATAACTGGCATGCTTTAGATACTGAGCACATTTCAGTTATGATGCAGAGAAAGGAGTTATAGAGATCAAATCAGAGTCAGAAAGGCCTTTTGTTTTACCTTTATCCAGCATGCAGGTGTCTTCTGTGACGGCGGGTTTATGTTTGTGTCTGTGGTCAGAAAGTGGTCAGCTTTATAGAAAGATTCAGATCAACCTGAGCTTTTATTTACTATCTCTGACGTCTGTTTCCATAACTCCTCCAGCTTGGAGACAGGAGATACTATAAGGACTTGACATAACTTGGTTGTGGTTACTCTAGAGTTGGTGTACACTATACCGGGCAAAGGTCTGAGATCAGTTTGATTTTTTAAAATGCTTTTAAAAGGAGTCAAATCTGTTAACAGGGCTAGAATTCATGCTGTGAATTATTGGACTAGAAAAGGCTGAGCTTTAATTATTCTAAATGGAGGATTATTTACTGCCGCTGGTTAATAGTTCACCCAATGAAAATTCTGTCATTATTTATTCTCACCCTTTACTTGCTTCAAAGCTTTATGAGTTCTTCCGTTAAGCACAGAAGATATTTTGAAGAATGCTGAATATCTGTAACCATTGACTTCGATAGTGTTTGTCTTAACTGCACTGTAAACCCCAATGTTGTCTTTACTTAGACAATTAAGTAAAGTTGACTGAACATAGCTTAAAATTTTGCGTTTTGATCCTATCACTTAAAAATATATGAGTTAATTTAACTTATTATGTACCATAAAAATGCATAAACTTAAGATTTCAAGTGTAGTGAGCTCAAAATCATAATTAATCCTTTAAAAAAGGACACATTTTCACAAATGTAGTCTTGACTATAAACTTCTAATATGTGCAACCTTATAAGTGCAAGGTCTTTTTTAAATCAGAAAACAAATGGCTTCAGGTATAATTATTCGTCACTTTTAGATTGAAATTGATTTCAACATTTTTTCATAGTCCATTTTTTCACACTTAAATTGTTCAGTTCACTAAACTTAGTACTAAGCTTGTACAATTTAAGTATAGTCTACAAAACCGTCAAGTTAAATCAACTTAAATATGCAAGTTTTGGAAGACTCCATTACTCAATTAAATTGAGGCAACGATTTTACTAAATTAATTTAGTTCAAGCAACTTATTAGGGTTTTCAGTGTATTAGGGAAGTCAATGGTTACAGGTTTTTGGCATTCTTAAAAATGTAATACTTTGTGTTCAACAGAAGAAAGAAACTCATCCAAGCTTTAAAGGAAGTATTGTAAATTATTCTAAGATTATTTACTGCCGCTGGTGAAATGGACAGTTCGCCCAATGATAATTCTGCCATCATTTTCTCTCACCCTTTACTTGTTTCAAAGCTTAATGAGTTCTTCCGTTGAACACAAAAGAAGATATTTTGAAGAAGGCTGCAATCCTGTAACCATTGACTTCCATAGTATTTGTTTTTCCTATACTATGAAAGTCAATGGTTACACTTTTTTAGCTTTCTTCAGAATATGATACTTTGAAGGAAAAATAAAACACATCCAAGCTTTAAAAAAATGATTGTAAATGGAAGATGTATGGGCTAATTTTCTTCTTCTTTGATTCTTTGTAGAATCTTTTTGAGGAGGATTGTGTTACGAGCCTATCTTCCCTTTTCTTACCGTTCTGTGTCCTTACAGTGCGACGTCACAGTTAAATACTTAATTTATGGGTGGAAGATATATATATTTGAATTTTTTTGTGAAGATCAGCACTTCCTCTGTTGTATTGTTATTTTGTTCGTCATCTTATGTTTTTGTGTTATAGAATATTTTGGTGAGAGAATTTCAGCTGATTTCTTATTTATTTTAAATCCCTAGACAGTTTGATATATTTTGTTATTCATTTCAATAAATGTTTATTTCATTTACTTTTGTGTAATTTTATGGTATGGTCAGGAAACTGCTGGCTGTAAAACATTGTATTTAATTATTCACTGCTGTTGGTTAAAGGGACAGTTCACCAAAAAAAAAAAGGCAATTCTGTCACCATTTACTCATCCTTTCCTTGCTTTATGAGTTACTTTCTTCTGTTGAACGCAAAAGAAAATATTTTGAAGAATGCTGAAAACCTGTAACTTTCATAGTACTGTATTTGTTTTTCCTATTATGGAAGTCAGTGGTTACAGGTTTTCAGCTTTCTTCACAATATAATACTTTGCAAAAGAAACTCATCCAAGCTTTAAAAGAATGATTGTAATGGAAGATGTATCAATGTATTTGATTGTTTACTGCTGCTGGTTAAAGGGATAGTTCACCCAAAAATGACAATCCTGTCATCATTAATTCATCTTTTACCTTTTTCTAAGCTCTATGAGTTTCTTTCTTCCATTGAACACAAAAGAATATATTTTGAAGAATGCTGAAAACCTGTAACCATTAACTTCCATAGTACTTGTATTTCCTACCATGGAAGTCAATGGTTACAGGTTCTCAGCATTCTTCAAAATATATTCCCTTTTAAACCATTAAAAGAAACAGATCTACCTGAGCAAATAGTAAATACGTTTTCATTTGTGGGTGAACTATCCATTTCACCGTGTGTTGTGTTCCTTTTACTTTAATCTGAAGTATTAGTTGCTGTTTATATTTATTTTTCTCTTTCATTCAAGTGTTTGTATTGTCATCCTTTCTTTGTTATCTTATTATTTTAAAACAAAAGTAAAGGAGAACCACAAACAATAAGCTAACTCTGCTTACAAAGACAGTTTTTAAATAATATTAAACATAGTTGTAAATTTTAACTTGAAAATGTTATTAAATATAGTAACAATTTGTAATTAGTCTTTGATTTTATGGGGAAATTTCAGCATTGTTATTCCAGTCTTCATTATCACATGATCCTTCAGAAATCACTCTAATACAGGGGTGTCAAACTCAATTCCTGGAGGGCCGAAGCCCTGCACAGTTTAGTTCCAACCCTGCTCCAACACACTTACCTGTAGGTTTCAAACAAGCCTGAAGGACTCAATTAGTTTGATCAGGTGTGTTTAATTAGGGCTGGAACTAAACTGTGCAGAGCTGCGGCCCTTTTGGAACTGCGTTTGACACCTGTGGTCTAATATGATGATCTACGGGGCTGCATGGTGACACAGTGGGTAGCACATTTGCCTCACAGCAAGAAGGTCGCAGGTTTGAGCCCCGGCTGGGTCAGTTGGCGTTTATGTGTGGAGTTTGCATGTTCGTGTGGGTTTCCTCCGGGTGCTCCGGTTTCCCCCACAAGTCCAAAGACATGTGGTACAGGTGAATTAGGCTGAAGTGTCCGAAGTGTATGTGCGTGAATGGGTGTGTATGGATGTTTCCCAGTGATGGGTTGCAGCTGGGATCCGCTGTGTAAAACATATGCTGGATAAGTTGGCGGTTCATTCCACTGTGGCTACCCCAGTTTAATAAAGGGACTAAGCCAAAAAGAAAATGAATGAATATGATCTACGGGCGGCATGATGGCTCAGTGGTTGGCACTGTCGCCTCACATCAGGAAGGTCGCTGGTTCAAGCCCCGGCTGGGTCAGTTGGCATTTCTCTGTAGAATTTACCTATTCTCCCCGTGTCCACTGGTTACCTCCAGGTGCTCCGTTACTTATGCCGAAATAGTTGCAGGTTCATTCCACTGTGGCAATCCCTGATAAATAAGTGACTGAGCCGGAGGAAAACGAATGATTGAATGATGATCTGCTGCTCAGGAAACATTTATTATTATTGTCTTTAGGGTTGAAATCTGTTGGGTTGCTTCATATTTTTGAGTCAAAATTTAAAAAGTATCCCTTTTATTTATCAAGGACATGCATCTTTAAGGGTTAAAGTAAAAATATATTTTATAATGTAATAAAGATTTCAAATAAATGCTGTCATTTTGAACTTCCTTTTCATCAAAAGTGTGCATCAGGAGAAATAATTCAGCAATAATAATTACAAGAATCATTATTGATGGTTGAGTGCCAATAATAAGTTCTTAATAGTTATAAATCATTATAATATGCTTATTCTGTCTCCAAATGTTTTAACAAATCTAATTAAATGTAATGTAATGTAAACTTAATATAATGAAAAGTTCTTCCAGATTTTGATTTTAAAACATTAGCTGCATAATTACTTTTAGTCCTAAGTGTGTGCGTTTTGTTGTTTCTAAGGACTCTGCATTCTCATTCGACGTGTATAAATAGTCATAAATTCAACTCTGTCTTAAAATATAAAGTCAACTGTGGTATTTATTGCAGTGGCTGGTACACAATGGCACATTTGTTTGATGATTAGTGGATTGATGTGTGTGCACAACCAGCACTCTCTCCTGTCATCATTTGTCAAGTGTTTCCTCCGTCAGGTATATTTAGGAAATGGATCTTTACATATGTCACATTAACAGAGATTTATTGAGAAAAGGCTTGCGGCATGTAGAACATGGCTTATTCTGATAAGGAAAAAAAGATGTGTTCAAGTGTTTAATAAACTACTATTGAAAATCTCCTAATTAGCATTAAACACCTTTAACATTAAATGATGATATCATTAGTTAGCATTAGTTGACTATGGTAGTTACCATAAACAAAATTACAGGTATACAGAAACAATGGATCTCAATATTAGTTATTGTTCATCCATTTATTGAATTGTTTTTATTTAATTTATATATTTTTATTTATAATTTATTTATTATGTTGCTTTCTTTCTTCTTACTTTATTCATTATACTAATTTAATGCAGTTTATTAGATTTTTATTTTTGTTTTTTATTTTTGTAGATGATTTTAAATGAATTTAATTTACTGTGTTTTATGTTTACTTTGTGTAGTTAATTCAGTGTTTTATTTATTTTTGTGTTGGTTTATTTCATTTTAATTGTATTTAATGCAATATTTTTATTTCTTTTTATTGTTTCCTGTTTATTTTATTTTCACTTTGCTTAGATTTATTTGAATCCATTTTATTATTATTATAATCAATTTGGTTTATTGTCTTGTTTGTTTATTTTGTATTGTTTCATTGTTTTGCTTATTTATTGAGTTGTTTTATTTCATTTTTATTTTACTATTTGTTTCATTTAATGCATTTACTTACTTTTTTGTTGGGTTTAATTTTATTTTTCTATCTTAGTTTAGATTTCATTTTATCATTAGAATTAATACATTCATTCATTTTCCTTCTGCTTAGTCCCTTTATTAATCTGGGGTCGCCACAGCGGAATGAACCGCCAAAATATACAGCATATGTTTTACGCAGCAAATGCCCTTCCAGCCGCAACCCAGAACTGGGAAACATCCATACACTCTCACATTCACACTCATACACTACGGCCAATTTAGCTTATTCATTTCACCTATAGCGCATGTCTTTAGACTGTGGGGGAAACCGGAGCACCTGCAAACTCCACACAGAAATGTCAACTGGCCTAGCTGGGGCTCGAACCAGCGACCTTCTTGCTGTGAGCCACTGTATCACCCCATGTATGATTTAATATTAATATTTTTAATAATTTTTTTGTTGCTTTTTTAAGATTTTTATTTTAGTAGCTTTATTTTTATTGTTTTATTTTGTAGTTGATTTTACTTTTTATTTTATAAGTTGTGTTTTATGTTTATTTTGTATTGCTTATTTAGTTTTTTTTTCATTTATTTTTGTGTTGGGTTATTTTACTTTTTAATTGTATTGAATTAATTAAATGAAATGCATTTTATTAAAAAAACATTGTTTTATTTTAATTTTATTTTTGTTGATTCAGATTTATTTCATTTCATTTTATTATTATTATTATTAATTTAGTTTCTTGTGTTTTATGTCTATTTTAAATTAGTTTCTTTTTATTTATTTATTCTGCATTCCATTTTTGTTTTATTATTAATTTCATTTAATGCATTTATTTACTTTTTATTTCTGTCAGATTTTATTGTATACTTCTTTAGATTAATTTCATTTTATTTTATCATTATAATTAATTAATTTAATGTTGTTGTATTGTATTTTTATTTATTTATTTATTTATTTAATTAATTATTGTGTTGCTTATTTCATTGTTAGTTTATTATTGATTTAATTTAATGCATTTATTTACTTTTTGTTAGATTTTGTAGGATTTTATTTTATTTTTGATCTGTTTACATTGATTTCATTTTATTTGATCACTATAAATAGTTCAATTTTATTATTTTTTTTATTGTTTTATTGTTGTATTTGTATTTATATATTTGTTTATTGTGTTGTTTTATTTCATTTTTAGTTTTTTTTTATTTAATTTATTGCATTTATTTTTTTTTATTAGATTTTGTTGGCTTTTATTTCATTTTTGCTCTCTTTAGACTGATTTCATGTTATTTTATCATTAAAATTTTTAAAATTTTTATTTTATGTTGTTTTATTATTGTATTTTTATTATATATTTATTTATTTATTATTGTGTTGATATATATCATTTTTACTTTATTATTGATTAATTTATGCATTTATTTACTTTTGTTCGATTTTTGATGGATTTTATTATATTATTGCATAGTGTAGTTTGATTTCATTTTATTTTATCATTATTTTATTATTTTATTTTTTTTTTACCAGTTCCCATGTTGGTCAATCATACTTCCTCTGTTGCTTCTACATGATAATGCATGCTTTCTCCAGCAGGCGGCTATTGTCCAACGTGCCATCTTGTAATTTCAATCATTTCCAAAGGGGTGGCGCAGTATTTCCCGCAAAACAAGAAACATCTCGCGATAGCGTGCAGGACTCACTCGTCTGGGTTTTCTTACTTGAGCGCATGCGGGTTTCTTTCCTGTTCGAGTGATCCGAAGAAACGCAACGCTCCTCGTGCGCGGAGCACGAGATCGGCAAACATGGTAAAGATTCAATATTTCATCATGCAAACTTTAGAAATCAACAAATAGCTTACCTATGCATTTTAAAAGCCACTGTGTCATATATTAAGTCGTGCTGTTATGAATAGCGTGCATGTTCGTGAGACGTACTTTTGTACATTTACACGTGTAAATGCGTGCTTTTTTGTTATTACACATTAATTACAGTCGTTATAATTAGTTTATTAAGCATTATTACGATGCGATCTATTAATACAAACTGCTTGTACTAAACTGCTTATAGGATAAAAGGTGAATCCGCAAACACAAGGCCTCAGGGTGATGTTAAAGGCCGCAGCAGCCATTAAAGTCAGTCTGTTTGGCTCGTAAAGTATAACCCACCTCTTGTTAGTGTTTTGAGGCGAAGTTCTGGTTCCGATCGCAGTGCTGTGAGATGTTGAGTTTTAAAAGTGCTACGCGCTGAGTATCCGATCCGCTGAAGGAACACGTGGTGCGTCTGCTAACCCATGCTAACGTGCGGATCTCCCCAGCTTCGAGCCAGCGCCAATGTTATAAAGTCGAAACATGGGTGGCTTATTATCAACTGTTATCTTTTGCTTACGCAATGTTGTAAAGTCATAATAAATGTTTTAAATCTTGACTGTTGTGTTTTGAAGTGCTATCATCAACATGTGGGCTCCATGCTCCGACTGATCAGTTTCCCAATATTTTACTTGTATTAGCGTTCATTGTTATTTGTGAGATCATTAAGCATTTGGGAGTTTGTCTTAATCTACTGTAAGTGATGATTTATGGTTTGAGCTCTAATCAGTGTGGTTTTCTCCCTCTCAGGTGCTTTTACACGTGTTGTTCGAGCATGCGGCTGGATATGCGTTGTTGGCTGTTAAAGAAGTGGAGGAGATTGGCATGCTTCTACCTCAGGTTTGTATTTTCTGGAAAGACCAATGGATTTCAGTTTTTGTGCAACCCAATATGGAAACATTAAAATCTGAAAATGGGAATCAAAGGTTGTTGGTTTAAATCCCTCCCGTTTATAGTACGACTAACCCTCATTGTACATTCAGGTTTTTTTTTTTTTTTTTGAGCAGGAAACAAAAGTATTTAGAGTTTAAGAACGCACAATGCCATGAATCTTCACTTCATTTGTTGAACAAGATATTATGATGAGGAAAACTGGACATTTTTCAGCTTTCTTTTGGTTTTATATTGGTTGTATAAGTTGGTTTTATATTTGCACAGTCAGACTTTCTATTTAATATAATTTCAGAAAACCGCTTGGCTAATTCTATATAGAGGAATCATTTTAGCAACCAATGATTGTCAAAGTACAATATTGTTCAAAGGTTGTTGGTTTAAATCCCTCCCATTGAAGTACTACTAACACTCATTATACATTTTAGGGTTTTGTTTTTAACCAGGAAAATAACGTCTTTCAGGGAGCAAAACTTCTGTGACTTCATGAACTTCCATTTCTTTTTTTTTTTCTGCTGAATACAAGGGATATTCTGATGAAAGCTAGATGTTTAGCTTGAAGATATTGTCGCTTAGATTCAGCATTTAGCAGCAGAAGAAATAAATGTTTATCACAAAGTAACTATGAAATGTTTTGGGTTTTATTTTTATTTTTTTTTATATGATACTTATTTTTATTCTTAGCATTTGACTTAATGGGTAATTCATCCAAAAATGAAAACCCACTCCATTTTCTCTTTCAAATGGTTTAAACCCTTTAAATTGTCTTTTTGTTGAAGACAAGATATTTGAAGATAGCTGAACCCATAACCATTGACTTAAAAAATAGGAGAAGGCTTTCGAAATACCATATCTTGATCAACTAAATGTCAAGCAGGTTTGGACAATTGAGTAAATGGCCATTTTCAGTTTTGGGGGAGCTATCCCTTGAAATGTAGTTTGTAAGGTCATTTAAAAAGATGTATTTTATTTTTTATTTTTTTTGTAGGTGGAGGAAAGTGTCCTAAATGTTGGAAAGTTCAGCAGCGTGGTCAAACTGAGTGCGTTCTTTCCCTTTAAATCCGCCCAGGGTGCATTGGAAAACATCAATGCAGTTTCTGAAGGTATGTAGTAATACTAAATGTATATATTTTTTTTAACTGCCTTAGATGAAGTGATGCACACATAATCTGTCAATCCACTGAGTTATTGTGATGACAACATACCTACAAAACTGATCATCTTTAGTTAATCCTGTTGATTTGCTATTTCTGACATGCAACTACTAAAACCTTGCTCCTAATCTGATTTTTGCAGGAGTTGTCCATGCAGATCTTAAGCTTTTTTTGGAGACCAACCTTCCGTCCGGAGGTAAAAAGAAGCCCATGTTGGGGGTGTCCGATGCTAAGCTTGGAGCAGCACTTCAGGAAGAACTCAATCTGTCCATTCAGACTGGAGGTGTGGTAGCTGAAATCATAAGAGGTGAGCATTATTCATAATAACAACACTGTTCATTTCAATGGAATCCCATCACCTGCACCCTACTTTAAGGTCCCACAAAAAATTTAAGTTGTATTAATTAATTTTTTATATTAGTCTTAAGGAATATCTTCAAGCCAGTGTCACATTTAAAAAGTTATAAATGTACAAAGCTTGTAGTTTGTCACTTAAATGGATCAATTCATTTATTTATTTTTTTTAAATTACTTCATAGTTCAGTTTATCAACCAATCAAATGCTCTCTAGTAACTCTTGTCCTGTCACCTTCAAGACCTTCTCATTTGCTTTTCATTTGTTGCTTTTAAGCTCAAGCAGAGCTGTGATTATATTAAACACTATTGCTGTTTTTAAAAAGTGGGAGGGACTAGCATATCCTCACGTTTCAGTTTGCGTCAAACACCCAATATAAATGCGCATTTCAAACTACTTCATGGGACCTTTTAAAATAAAACCTCAAACTGATTTTCCACATTTGTGAGTAGCCTGCAGTAATGATGAACCTAGATCTCCTGATCTCTGATGCTTTATACTGAAAAACTGAACTGACAGGCCAAAATGACTTGGTCTTTAATAAATTCAGCAGGGTCTATTGCTGATGACTTTGCTTGTAATTGACAGGTGTACGTCTGCACTTTCATTCACTGGTCAAGGGTCTCACGGCTCAAGCAGCGTCTAAAGCTCAGTTGGGTTTGGGTCACAGCTATTCCAGAGCCAAAGTGAAGTTCAATGTCAACAGGGCAGACAACATGATCATCCAGTCCATCGCCCTCCTGGACCAGCTGGACAAAGACATCAACACCTTCTCCATGCGCGTGCGGTAAGAGGCTTTTAACTAGGATTTCAAGAGTCCGTTATGTAATGGTTTCCACTAGGGCTGCACGATATTGGTAAAATCTGAAATTGCAATATTTATTCACAAGGTGGTTTGAACAGCACTATTTGATGGGTTTTCTGGGCAGTAATAAGCTACAGAAATGAAGTAATTAGAATACAATTTTTTAATTATTATTATTATTTTTTTTATCTCTGCTTTTGCTCGTTTCTATTCTGAATATCCAAAAATTGTTAATCAAGTAAAATTGTTTTACACCTTCAGAAGAAATAAGTCAAAATTAAGAGTTCTGCTATTGGGGTAAGTAAAATTAATAATGTGTTTGCTTTTGAAACGTAGATATTTGGACTAGAAATAAGACGACAATACCAAGAAACTTTTTGTACACTGTAAAACCAAACGGTCAACTTTATCAAATAAAATGAGTAAACTCAGTTGACAATTCTTCTCATTTGAAAAAGAGTTTTGAGCTCTGTGTTGAAGGTTATGAGTTAAATACCTTATTACTTCAACTTAAATGGAGTAAGTTCACAGTACTCTTTATAGATTAATTTATTTTAACTCGAACGATTTTTAAGCAATCGGTTTCCTCAAACAATTTGAGTTGCCTTAACTTACTGGGTTTTACAGTACTCAGTTGGTTTGAGTTCTCTGTGTTGGGTTTTACTGTGCTCAACTTGCTTCATTTACTCAAATGGATTAAGTTCACAATACTCATTAGGATTTGTTTTTTTGAACTTTGAAATGTTTGAAATTGGCCCGCAGTTCTTGTTCAACTATAATTTAGACTCAACATTGCAGATCTTGCGATGTGACTTGCAGATGGGCACATTGCGATATTGATGCTGAAACGATATATGGTGCAGCCCTAGTGTCCATCTGAAAACTGCCTTTTTTGCCCTCTTGGTTTTGTTGGGCTTTGGTTTCCAAAAATGTTAACTTTTAACTTATGGTTTAAAAGACCAAGTGTAAACTTATTTTACTTTACTTAATTCCATGCCAATTAGCCATTTTAAAATGTATTCAAAGAGACTTGTATGTCCAGGTTGCAAACATGCACTTTTAATAATTACCTCCGGATCAACAAGCTTTTGAGATTTTTTTTTGAATGCAGCCTTTTGCTCTCTTTAGGAGAACTCGTATGCCCATGTGCAGTGTTTCTTTATGAATAACATTGCCAGCTACTGGGCAAGCGTCAATAATACAGTATTTCTTTTCATATATATATATATATATATATATATATATATGTCATAATGGGGACTTTTGCGCATTGTAACCTTTTTGCAAATGAAAATTGTGTGTATAGATGGATAGAATTGTCATGCAAGTCTATTAGATCATTTTGTGTAGTTGGGTGTAATCCAGAATCCTCCAAATGCTTACCGCAGACAGCGCCCCCTAGTGCACTGGCTGTACAAAAAAATGGAGGGACAGTAAAGTCCTTCCCCGGGAGTGTTTGGTCCATTTTAAACTGGACTGAACACAACCTGAGGGGGGAAACAAACCTGTCAGAGCTTGATGCTAATCAATTTACAAATTCAGGATTTGCATTTAATCAAACCCGAATAAAAGTAAAAAGAAAAAAGGTCAACTTATTCCCACTACTGGTTTTGCCGTTGTTTACTTGGACTGTAGAATTTTCTTTATTGTCTTAATACAAAGTTGTGCAGCTATTTAAAGAAATTTGCAAGAAATAATTTAGCAGTGACTAAATTTGAACTAAAGTTAAAACTCCCTTATTGTCCAATATCCGCATTGTTTCTGATGTTTTTCTTTTCTTATCTAAACAGTGAATGGTACGGTTACCACTTTCCAGAGCTCATAAAGATAGTCAGCGATAACAGTACATACTGTAAATTGGCCAAGCTGATTGGGAACAGGAAGGAACTGTCAGAAGAAATGCTGGAAGCCATGGAGGAGATAACGATGGACAGTGCAAAAGCTCAGGCCATCCTCGATGCGTCCCGCAGCTCCATGGGTAAGACGAGCACAGTGTTATGATTGTAGCGCAATGTGGGTTTGTCTCAGATGTTATGATGTATTTATAATCTGTCAATCCCCTGAAGCCTGTGATGACAGCATACCTCAATAACTGAACCTCTGGAGTTGCTGTAATTCAGACTTGTACAAACTGCTGGAGCAGACTAATTGTGTATCTTTATTACATTATTCCTGAAGGTATGGATATCTCTCCTATTGACCTGATCAATATTGAGTGCTTCTCCAGTCGTGTGGTGTCCCTCACAGACTACAGACAGGAACTGCAAGAGTACCTGAGGTCAAAAAT